ACTCAAACCATAGCTCTGATACCACTAAATGTAATCCCTCAGACCGATGCGAGTAACCCGATCCAGATCTAGAGTGTCACATTAGGGCCACCGGAGCGACCCACTATAAAAATAGCGGAAAATTTAAAACTTTTTATCAAAACATAAACTTATAAAATCATTTATCAGTATTCAGAAATAAAATAGATTTTCGGACTCGTATATAAAATAAAATACAATTATATGCCCCCTAATTGCATGTACCATACTCTGCAAACAACGCCGGAAGAATTCTTTTACTGAAGTCGATAATCGCACTGGTACAATTCTTTTAACCTAAAATGGTGAGTAATAGAGTGAGCTTCAAAAAGCTCAGTAATACAGAACTATCAAATGATGCTGAAGAACATACAGATACAAATAAACATATATTTCCTTGTCAGTTCAGACATCTACAGATCTTTATGCTGAGCGGAGATCCTACAGATATTTCAGGGTAACGGACAATGAGCTTTCATTTTAGAGAAATATTTCGGATAACTGAGTTCAGGAGATCAGAATAGGTTATCTAGTGTGTTCCCTCAAAACCAGTGAACAGATACCGATCTTTTAAAACATATTTTTTTAAATTCAAAAACCATAGTAATTTCTCATCTGTCACGAACAAAATGTGTAGGTTCTCCATAACCATACAACCCCGTCACGAACAGTAAGGCCCTTAGCACAAAGCCAAGGAACCTGCAAGTAATCAACCCGTCACGAACAGTAAGGCTCTCAGTACAAAGCTGAGGAACCTACAAGTATTCAACCCCGTCACGAATAGTAAGGCTCTCAGTGCAAAGTCGAGGAACCTGCAAGTATTCTTCCTCCAACTATACCCCCAATAAAACATGTTCCGTCCGTAAACAGATATATCAAAAATCAAAACATAATTCAAGTCAAGTATCATAACAGAATTCAAATAAGAAATCAAATAAAATATTCATGTAATTAGTGAACACACCAGAGTTTACAGGTATTATTTAGAGGTACTGTATCAGGCAGAGAAACACAGTTCTTCAGTATGTCGATAGAATGTTGGAATTTAGAATCACTATTGGAAGAGTTCATTAACTGACAGAATCATCAGTTATTCAGAATGTGAATTGAGCTGATAAGGAAGAAACAAATATTCGAAACATTTATGATTTGTGTCGATTTATCGGAATATCGAACAACTCCCAGAACTGATACTTATCGACTGGTCAATTCATTACCCTTCCAGGGTATTTACTCTTTAATACCAAAAATTCTTGTCCAGAGATCATCTTCGGAATCATCGTTGAATAGATCTTTCAATGTCTTTATTTCATTTTCACGCTTTCACTATATCATGAAATGTTGACGTGCTTGATTTGTAGTTCATGATCCATAAGAGCATTACATCATGTATGTTCATTAATGTTTCCAGACTCATCCAAATCACTTACTTAATCCTTAGTCCTTAGGTTACTTAATTCATTTAGTAGTCAAGTCCATTCCTTTTACTTCTGAGTTCTCCAGGGTAATCCAAACGTTTCTGCATTTCAGATACATAGTGTACTTCCGTTCAATTCAATTTGGTCTTCGTGGTTGATTTGTCTAACGAATATCCATTTCTTTTTACGGAATGCGATCTAGAATTGAGCTGCTAAGTACTTTCAAAATTATCATCGAACACACATTCAACTGATACCTATGTCGTTCAGGTATTGACATATCATTACGGTTGATCGGCTCACTTATGTTATTCCATAACTTCTAAAGGTAGTCCAACACCTATGCTTATTTGGATTCCTTATTTAATCCAAGATATACTTAGTATAGGTCATAAGGGTATTTTGGTCATTTTGGTGTTCATTTTATTCCATTCTTTTCAGAGCTTGAGGATATCCACTCATTCCTGAGCTTGGTGATATTCTTGAGTCATTTCCATTACATGGGTATTTTGGTCATTTTACAGATCCATTGTAGTCCAATAATTTCTTCCATCCGATCTTATTATTAAATTCAAACTTATCATTTATTTTATTCCATTCGAACAATTCTGAAAAAAGAACACCCCGATAAATTGTTCTTCATGTATTTACTCGTAACTCGGATATTTTCGGGTCAAGTGCCTTCTAAGATTTTTACCAACGGAATATCAGAATTTTTCTACACTAAGTCAGGGTCTTAACAATCAAATCCGTACTTAATCGATTTAAGTATGAATCCTCAAAGTATTTTCTCATTCAGGGTCAACTCGGACTATTTTACCTCTCAAGGGCATTTTCGTAATTTCTTAACCAGATAATTTCGATATTAGCTCTTAACGAAAATAATTATAATTTAAAGATCCTATGGTCAATTGCTTTCCCGAACATTCTCTGATCTTGAAATTATTCCTTAACAAACTTCTAGTATCTTGCGCAAACCCTTGTTCGCGTTAAAAACCAGTTATCCAAATTTTCTAAACAAAACTATCATTTCTTATGCGCATCTGTAATTATATCGGATCAATGTCTTTTTAGAGTTATTAACCAATTTCCAGGGACAATTCTTGTCATCCTACAACATAAAGGTATTTTCGTAATTTTACCCTACCAGAGTATTCTCATAATTTCTCATCTAAGTACCTTTAACATTTAACCTTTGATGATATAAAATATAAGTTACAAATCTAGGGTTTATTTCTTTATCACTAATCATAAACTTGTAATTTAATTCTAACAATTCCTCAATCTCTTATATTAGTCATTCGATCTGTATTCAGTTACAGAATTTCTACCACATTCATATCGAGTGTATAAATTATTCAACTCCACAAAAGTAACCAACATTATCTTATTCATGCATTTACCAATATCATCATGTTCCATAAAGCATAAAGAGGTAGTAAAATATTATCTCGATTTTCGTGCAGTACTGATCGACCATAAAAATTCCATTCGAACGCCTTTAATCTTCAATTCAACTTCCAATAATTCCACAAATACATATCAACATAAATTATATAAAAAAACGGAGCTTAATTACGATAAACGGATCGAATCGGGTGATAAATCAGTGAAAAATAGCTTACCGGGTTCGAATTTGGCGAAACGGACTTCAGATTCGGATTCAAGACATTGAAAGCATAAAATATGACTTTTCGAAAATTTGAAATTTTTGGTCAAAATCAAAGTCAACTGGTTTGACTGCCAATTTCAAGGCCTTCGGATCCGAATTTCGAAAAACAGACTGCAGAATCGAATTTGGAACGTCGAAAAATGTCAGGATAGGTATACTCGGTCAAAGTCAAAGGTCGTTTAATGCCCGGTCAAAGCCCGTCAAAGTTTTGGTCAACACTGGTCAACGGTCAACGGGTCGGGTCGACGGGTTGGGTTGGAACCGGTTAAACCGATCAAAAAAGCTCCAAAACCGGTCAAACCGATTATTTTTTCTTCCCCACGCGCAATGGCGGCACGTGAACAGTGTTATGGTGTCTGAAAATTCCCGGAAAAATTCCTAAAAATTATTTTGAGCGATTTCGAGATACTTACAAAGCTCGGTTCACAATTTTGAACGGCGGAGAGCTCGATTTCAAATAATTGGAAACTTTGACCGCTTCACCTCCTCATGTGCTGCCGTTGACGGAGACCAAAGATGACACCAACGGACTCGGAACGATGCAAGGGACACGATGGTGCGGGAGGTGTCGTAAACGGATCATCGAATCATCGTGAATCGATGAAAAACCAATTGAAATCGAGTTATTACCGACGATACTTTCGGCTGAAATTAACGACGAACGGCGACGATTCACGACGAAAGGTTTGAGGTTTTTTGTTCCTCTATCGGCAACGAACACGATGGTGGTTTCGGTTCGTCGATCGGACACCGGACGATGAGTAAATCGGAGTTCAAAGAGGAGTTGAGGGGAAGAGGAAAACTGAAAAAATACCATCTGAAATACGGGGAGAGAGTTTATAATTCTCTCCTAAAGAAAAATGGTTAAACTATGAGTTTAGCCACTGAAATTTTTGCACTTCTTAAAATGATCTGTTAACTTTGAAATTTTACAATTTAATCCTCAATTTCCTTCCAAAATTCCAATTAAATTCACCCCTTTATAATTTCTTAAATTTTAACCCTTAAATTGGGTGCTACAAGAAGATCCCAGAACCAACCGTGGAGGATGCCAATAAATGATAGGACAGCCCAGTTACAGCCCTTGCATTAGTCAAGCCAAAAACAGAGGGGGGGGGGGGGAGTCATCTCCAACCTTGGACAAACTTTATGAATGGAAAAGGCAACATGATTATGATAGAGATGAAAGCAACCAATAAGGACTAGCTTTTGTCTGATTCCACCTAATTTAGAACCAAACCGAAGATTAGAACGTGAATAAATAATAAAAAGCAACCAAAATTCAACGTTTCTTGCATCTTTCCAAAAAGAGTTCTAAGATTTTGCAATAAAAAGTAAGTTCAATGATTATGATTTTCTTGTATTCCTCCAAATTGGACACAGAAAGCAAGAACAGTACTGTCTTATAAAAAATGTTTAGCTCAACTTGTATACATCTACTAATAAACCTCAAGACAATCTTTTGCATTGTTCGGCACAATAATAGTTTAGAATCTTTCACTCAACATCTGATGATGCCATCTTACGTTACTAGAACGTTGTAAAACTGGCCCATTAGAGAGGAAAACACAAGCAAAGATAGAAGGAACTTGATCAAATTAACACAGAAGCCCAAATTTCAATGGTTATGAAAATTAAGTATCACCTATTTAGCTATAGCATCTGTATTGAGATACAGCTTTCTTTTCTTCCAGGCCACTAACTAGACATGGTTAAAATAGGCAACCATATCACCTAAAATCTAAAACCAAGTGGTGAATCACCAAGAATCCTATGTTCATCTTAGTCCCAGAAAACCTCCTCAAAAGACGCAACAATCTAGAATATTACAAATACCCAAGAAGTGATGCAAAACACAAAAGGGCACAATGATAGGAATCCTTCATAAACTTTTTACCAACGTCATACATGGTTACACAATTGCAAAAGCCTCTCAAAAAGGCAACATGGTGCAATCTTTTAACCAAAATTTGATTGAAACAATTAAAAATTACGAAACAAATACCATACAAAAATGGGGGCTAGTTTGAAACGGTAGATTTGTGGAGTTGCTGAGAAGTGAGAGATAAAAGAGACTGAAGCTTGGCAACAGCAGAGGCTCTCTCAGGTGGGCATTTGGAGAGTGAAACATTCAAACAATGAAAAGCTTCATCTAGCTTGCCGGCCGCCAATGCAGCACAACCAGCTTTATAAGCCTCATCAGCCAACCGGGCATCATACTTGGGCGAATCCTGACCCTTGTTTCTCGACGAGGATGAAGATGGGGAGTCAAGGAGTGCTGTAGCACGTTCATATTCGAGATTAGTGATTGCAGTGTTGATTTCAGCCATGAGAGCCTCAGGTGTTAATGGGAAAGTCTTCACTCCATCAAAGACACTGAAATGAGGATTCCCTTCCCCAGAACCCATCTGCTTCTCAAGAATCTTGTAGTCAATGAATGGGATTTATCCTTTCATTTTGATCTACTCTTTGTAAATGCCATTAATGTAAATCAACTCGAAACTACTGAATTAACAATCTTTAACGTCTAAAATGCAAAACCCAGGAAAGTCCCGGAACCTGATAATCATTGAAGAAAGAAAATAAACAATCTAGAACTGGAATCATGTTCGGAAAAGATAACGGAAGTAGCAAAAACACTAACCTTAAATTCTTGCTCTAACGACGAAAAAGGTTAAGCCAAGAATTGGGTTTATCGACGCGTTGTCGTGGAATCGAGATGTTGAGCAAAACTTCTTTATACCAACAATTCTTGAAAACCCCTCTTAAATTCTAATGACCCGCCGAACTGACGTGTTGATTAAAAATCAAGGAATTGAATTGTCACCGACTACCGATTGGTTCGACTCAGTTTCTGGGATTGATTGACTTATGAATTGGCTGTTGATTTTCAACTCAGGCTTCAGGGCTTACTCAAAGATCAATGTCCATTTATTTTTTGAATTCCAAAGGCCCATAATGTTTTTGAAAGATCAGAGTTGTTAGAGACCACTATCAAATGTTAATATGAAATGCACTATGACATCAAGCAGTTAGGGTTAAAGATTTTAGATTTATATATTATAGATTAGGATTATTAAAGAAGTTAGATTCAAAAAATATTTAGTAGATGTGCTTTCAAAATAAGAATTGTCATTAGTTATTTTTGAACTATTAATAAAATCATACATTTGAAAATAAAATTTTAAAAAACAATATAAAAGGGTTAAAACGTCGATTAAGTGTGATAAATGTTAAACATTTAAAAATATTTTGTTAACTAATTTTGGACAAATGATCGATAGTATTTAGAACATATATTTCTTTATAGAAATAGTAGATGAATAAGATTATCAAATGACAATTACTCAGTTCTACCACTCCTAGACATAGGTGATCCGTCTCACTATTTGCATTACTAACGAGCCTCATTTCATCGGTGAAGATTATCATAGGGTTCAAAGAAGGATTTTTTATTTTCTTGTTTTCCTATGTTTGTTTCTCTTTCGTTTTTTCTTGTTGTTTTTCGATCCCATGAGGTTGCAGTGGTGGAGGATGTCGGACAGAAACTTCCATTGAAATGGTCGTAAACTCCTCCACGAGCTGTTTGTTCCGTTATGCCATTTCACTTCGACCAGTACGGTGGGTATCCATGGCACGTCCAAGTGTTTTCGAAGAATTGAAGCTTGGTTCTCTTCTTTTACTTGTCGCTGTCTTTATTATAGATAGAAATCTCAGTTTTCTTAGTTAATCCACCTTGGAAATGGGACAACTTTCTCTGATCCGGAGCTCTTCCAATTAAAATTAACTTGTTTTGGAGATTGACGAAGCCTACCAAGTACCAACTGGTCCTTGGCTGCTCATTTTTATTGTATATGTATAGATGATTGAACTTTCACACACAAGAACAGATCACATTTATATATGATTAAAAAGTAAAAGGACTGTGAATGAAGATCGTTTAATCCAATTTTCACACAAGAACCAGATCACATTTATATATGATTGAACAACAAATAAGGCTTTCCATTTCTTTTAAGTGTACCCTCAGACATGAGTCTCTCCCATCTCCTAAAAATCTATCAATACTGCCTCAGATGAAATCAAACCACCCAAATAGACATTTCGTGGTACAAAACAATTTCCATGTCAACCCCCCACCCCATCTTCCAGAACCAAAAAGACATTATATTGTCAATAGCATAGGTCTATTTGTCTGATATAAACGGGGTATCATAAAATTCAGTAGAACTAGAGTCCGCTGCATCTCGAATCGGCTGGCCATTGTCGGTGTCTTGTTTATCAAAATCCAGTCAACCACTAATAATACCTGATACCCAAGGAACCATAACAGGGACCTTTGGGTGTGCGTCACGATATGCTTCAGAATATCTGTCCTTAAAGTTCAGTCTGGGCTTCTCTGACTGCATAATTATTTTAATTTAATTAGCTTCGAGTTGCAGTCAGTGTAGAATGAAAATGCCAACTTAATGGATACGAAAAAGGTGCACTTACGAATTTCAGCCAGCACTCCATGTGTCTGTGTTGGTATTTATCTGGGGAATAGCAACCGGTCTCTGATGGACAATAAACCCATATGTTGCATCTCTTGTCACCAGGCTTTGCATTTTTCGCCTGATATAAGCAAGCCTGGCAGCAGTCAGCTGCACTTTCTTTGTGGTGGGTAAGACCCCATCTGACAGCAACACCGTCGTAATCCGTATGAAGTTCAGCATGACATTCTCGTGGAAGGGGCTTCCCAGCTAAAATTTGTTCCTCATATTCTGCAGTACAAAAGCGTAACACGTAACACCTTAGTGACATACATCTCTAACAACAATTTTTCAACTCAGTTTCTACCCTCAAATCCATATTCCCAAAACCTGTATAAAAATTGATTTAAGTCTGCCATGCTGTCCTAAAGAGAGTGAGAGATGGCTTTGATCAACAGAAAAAATTGAACTACCTGTATCTTCCACACCCTCAGGCTTATCATCATGTTCTGGATTATTGATTTCAGTGGGTATCCAAAGGCCAATTTCTTCTGACAGTGCAGCCCAATTGGAATCCAAGGCTTTTAATAACATCCCTACAAATATGGTATGTCAGACTGGTAAGTTAACATTCAGCGACAAAGGAAAAGGGTAAAGCATTTTTATCTCAACGATGAAGAAAATTACTGAAATATTCCACCTTCAGATTACGAGTTACCTGCTTCCTCTATCACAAGTGTCGAATTCAACCCCTCCCCTCCAAGGGCCAACTTTTTGGCTTCTTTTAGTTTCTCCTTCCGCCAGTTTTCAACCACTTCTGTTAACCCAATACAGTATCAACAAAGACAGTAGTAAATTATAGTGAAAATACTACAAAAAGAATGTCAGAGATGATTAGTTGTTCTCAAACACGAAACCTACATTATGCCGATAACTCAAACTCTTCTAAGGCATTAATGTAGAGCAAACTCTATCTAGGCAATTGAATTTAGCTAAGAGCAAACTCTATGGTATTAATGAAGAGAATGACATCCTACAAGATTGGGCTAAGGCAATTGGGTGTTCAGTTGGTTCATTTCCTTCGATCTATTTAGGCCTTCCTCTCGGAGCAAAAAAGAATTCGGAGAAATTGTGGGAACCGGTCATCCAGAATTTTAACAAGAAATTGGCAGGGTGGAAAGCTTCTACACTATCTATGGCTGGCAGATTAGTGCTTCTAAAGTCGGTATTGTCATCATTACCCATTTTTTTCCTATCTATTTTCAAGATGCCGAGTAAAATTAGCCAAAAGATTAATTCCTTGATGGCGAATTTTCTATGGGGTAGTGGGGTTGAAAGGGAAAAAATACATTGGGTGAGCTGGAAAAATGTTTGCAAACCGCAGACAAGTGGAGGCTTGGGAGTCGCTGATATGAACCTTACCAATTGTGCTTTGTTAGAAAAATGGGTGTGGAAGTTTGCCAATGAGAAAAATTCATTGTTGAAAAAAATTTTATGTAGCAAAAATAATGTTAGTTGTTATACCATGGACATCAATAAGGTTATCTCTCAGCAGGATTCTTGGATTTGGAGAGGAATTGTGAATAATTACTTGAAGGATGATTCCGTGAGAGGCTGACTTAGATCACATGCAAAGATACAAGTGGGGAATGGTAAATCAATCTCCTTTTGGAATGGCACTTGGATTGGAGATTTTCCTTTGAAGATTCTGTTTCCTAGGATTTATGCACTTTCTCCGAATAAGTGGGGTAAAGTGGCTGACTTTGGCAGCTATGAATCGAATGGATGGGAGTGGATCATTAAAACTAGGAGGAATTTATGCGATTGGGGAAGTAGGACAGCTGCTGGAATTATTGGAGTGGCTACAAAACATTAAAATGGTGGATACAATGGACGATTTTTTATTGTGGAATGGAATTGGTGATGGATTGTTCTCAGTTAAAGCTTGCAGGTTGTCACTTGAAACTACTAAAGATGACAGTATTTTTTGGAAAAAATGGGTTTGGTCGGGGTTAGTTCCTCCAAGAGTAGAATCTTTCCTTTGGCAAGTTTGTCATCGAAGAGTAGCTGTGAGAGTGGAGTTGAAGAATAGGGGAGTTCAATTAGGGGAAGACAGTCTTTGTCCTCTTTGTAATCAGTGTGAAGAAACAGTACAACATTTATTCATTTCCTGCTCAGTTTCATGGGATCTTTGGAACAAAATAATAGGCTATTGGGGACTGGTTTTAGCTCTGCATAATGACCCGTCGACACTTTTCAGCTCCTGGACTGTTTTGAGACCGAATTCACTTATATGGAAGTTTATCCCGGGAGCAGTTTTTTGGTCAATTTGGAAGGTGAGGAATAACATTGTTTTTGAAAAGGAGAAGTTGGACAGATCGTCCTTGTTTTTCATTGTTAAATTCAGATTAGCCAAATGGTTTTTAGCAAAGTACCCTCTTGTTCCTATTCAAGTAGACTTGTTGATTAGAGACCCTTCTTTGGCTGACAATCTTACTGCTTTTAAGGATCAGAACAGGCATGTTTTATGCTTGAGTCCTCCTCCAGTTGATTTCTTTAAAATGAATGTGGATGGGGCTGTCAGTAGTGTTGGCTTTATAGGTGGAATAGGGGGTATTCTTAGAGATTGGAATGGTACTGTTCTAATTTCATTTGCAGACAATATTGGTCCTAGCCCTCCTCCTATACCAGAATTAAAAGCCATAAAGAAAGGCATCGACATCTTTGTCTCTTCAGAATGGGCGTTTAAAGGAAAACTGATTATTGAGAGTGATTGTAAATCAGCAGTGGATTGGATTAAAGCTCTTTCGTCAGTTCCTATTTTTCTTACTAATTTAGTCAAAGAGATTGTGTCTATTGTAGCAGAGAATGAGATGATTGTAAGGTTGATACCTAGGTGTTGTAATTGCAAGGCAGATAAGCTAGCACAGGAGGGAATGGTTGATTGAATGTTTTATTTGTAATTGTTAAGCTCTTTTGTGTGTTTTAGATAGCAGTTGTAAGACAGAATTGTTTAAGTTTATGTAATTGGTTTATCAATAATATATTAAGGCACTCTTTTCCTTCTTCCGCTAGATGGTTCTTGCCTAACGGTAAAGGACTTCTATGAGGGAGGTTTTTAATGAGGCCTACTATTCCTATAAAAAAAAAAAACTCTTCTAACACACGAAACTAATTGTATGATAACTCTTGGCAGAAATGGGTTTGCTTGGAGAACTGAGAAGCTTGTTGAGGACTTCAAAACAAATAGAGCCTAAAAAATCTAGGGTCAACTACACATTTAGTACCTAAACTATTACTTTTATTCCTTTTTGGTACCCAAACATTTTTTTCAAAACCATACCTAACATTTAGTTTAGGTTTCAATTTGGTACCCGCCATTAAAAAATTAACTGAACGGTTAACATGGCTTTTTTATTTTTTTTCCAATGATAATATGACATTACCTTACGGTGACACCCCAACATCACCGTTAAGTTTTTAATGGTGGGATACCAAAATGAAACCTAAACTAAACATTAGGTAAGATTTAGAAAAAATTAAAGTTTGGGTACCAAAACAGAACAAAAGTAATAGTTTAGATACTAAACATGTTTTGGTTAAAAACAGATTGTGGTTGTTCTAGAAACAGAAAAACATAGAGAAACATAAGGTCTGATTTCTGTTAACTCGTAAAAGTAAAGATCTTTAAATTTAGAGCAGGATATGATAAAAGGACAATTATACACTAATATCTTATAAGTACTACACAAAATATTTAATGATGTAAACCAACAAAAACTTATTTTTTTCTTTAAATTTATCGTCAAAAATATATCCTAACAAATGAATTGAAACCTTTCTTCAATCAAGAATCACAATGCAAAGTGTGCTTTTTCACTGATCAATATATAAATAAATAGAAAAACAAAAATCTTAAGACATAATCACTGGGCTCCGAAGAATACAAGTGTAACATTTCTTCTTAATGCAGTCAGTAAATTAGCCAAAAAATTCTGCAAAGTAACATTTAGTGGCTAGCTAAATTCAAGTAGATTATGAATATGAAAGCATTGATCTATCCCATTAATTGCTATGTATTGAAAATAAAACACATCCACCTTTGGACTATTGGATGATATTAGATCAAAAGATTAGGAACCTTGGCAAGATGAAATAACAGAAGATAAAGCATAACATGTAATACCTAAAGGAAATTAAATGACATGAATCCTAAAGCTTAAATGTAATAAACTTTCCTATTGTTATGGAACATAGGAAAACATCTGAAAGTCACAAACACACATCAAAGATGACGGGAATTGTGAACAAAGTTTTAAAATGTATTTGTTCAGGATTATTACAGAATTCCATTTGCCTCTAGACAGATAAAGATAATGATCCCTAGGAAGTTCATGTTCCAGCAATCATAATATTTGAATTGAAACATGTGGGCAATAATCAAGTGCTATTTTGGGATAAAAACAGATAATGAAGAATACGTATCAATAAAATAATTTTTTCATGCTAAAAAAGTGCAACGTCTTTAATGCATCTATTGTGTCTCTTGCATGCTAAACCAGGTAATCAAACATCTAAAAGTCTCCATAATAAGAATGCAGCTCAAGACTGAATAATTTACCGACAATAATTGATTAACATGTAATCTTTGCTGTTTCCAGCTAACACAGTATGTAACATTTGAACCTAAACCTAAAACTCCTGAAAAGGATGCATCATAAATGTTCAATCCCTATAATAAAATAACACATAAGCATATATAGAAATACAGCAACTTTAAACTGTAAAATAAAGGCACAAAACAGTTAAAACTTTTAAAGGAAACTAAGACACCAACCTTGCTGCTCGCTGGCAGTAGCATTTGGTCTCAAACTTCTCAATTCCTGTAGGATCTCATCAGTTATCTTATGCTTAACTGCCCGTGGCATTTCAGCCCCCAATTCTTCACTCCGAACTTTATGCTTTATTCGCTTAACCTTTATTTACAGACATTGTGAGTATCACCAATTAAAACCATTATGGCCAACAAAATGGAAGCTATAGAAAAGGGTAATTTTCATACCATTTAATAAGCTCGATAGGTTCACTAACTCTTCGAATCTTAACGGATTCCTCCATTTTCCTAATCTGATCCGGAGTATACTTTACAACTTAAAAAATCCAGAAAATCAAAACGAATCAATAAGAAATCTCTCTAACTCCCAACCCCATCCAAAAAAGAAGGTAAAGCTGATAAAAACTTACCATTATCTTTGCTGTAAAGAATGTAGAGAGAAGAATAGAGGGAACGAAGAACAAAGAGAGCAATAACGATGTTAACGAAGCAAACAGTCAGAGTAATCCTTTTATAGGACCAGTGACACGAAGCCGAACCCAAAGCAAAACCGCCCCGTTTGTGCCTTCCTTCCCTAGCCATCTCTCACTCCGGTTATTTTCCTCCTTCATCCCGCCATATCCTTTTTGCTTTCCCTCATCAGACAGATCGATCAAAAGGGAACTTTTACCAGATCCCACCAACAACCAAACTTCCTTTGTAATCTTTCACTTTCCGAGCCACACAAAATGCAAAATGGAGGAACCACAACAGTGAACTTGTTCGGCTTATGCTCCTTTTTTGCGTGACTTTTGGGTTTTGGTTTTGGTTTTGGTTTTGGTTTTGGTTTTGGGGTTAATATCAAGAGCTGCGAATGTCATCAACTTTTTTTTTAAATAAAAAAGAGGGGATTAAGATTTGGAGGGAGTGATTGTATTGTCCTTGATATTGATGAAGTTTGTGGTTGAGGGTTATTTTTTTTATTAAAGTAAATTGTTAGTGTAGTCATTAGATTATAGGGTTGATTTTATTTTTACCAAAGAGTTTAAAAACATTTTAATTAGATCACTCAATTATTAAAATGTTATTGATCAAACCATCCATCGTTAACGATTAACTTGAATTGTCAACTTATCACATATCAAGCAACCTCGACGTGGTATTTAAAATAATTTATATAATTATTCGTGTAATCTTTATCATCACAATCAAGTGGTGAAAAGAAAGGGACCTATGAAATTAAGTTGAATGACACAACCATGAGGGAAGCCATGGCCAAAGTCACATGTAGTGGCAGAGCCGCAGCTTGATGAGGATAGACACGTGCTTACTTGAAATCTGAATTTTTTTATTAATTACTTATTTTATTATGGTGTTTATTTTGAAAATTTTTGTACCCACCTTGAAATCTATATTTTATTCAATTAGTTATTTATTTTGTTGATGATGTCAACTCTAAAATTTTATTTAAATTTTATTTATATCCACTCATTTAAAATTTTTATGTTGTTAACATGTATGTGCTTATCCTCAAAAATATTTCTAAATCTCTCCCTGACAACATCTTGTGCATCAACAATGGCTCATGGAATGGAATTACTAGTTATTGCCGCTTCACGATTACCTTGGAAGAGAATAAATTTGAGGTTGCATCTGGGTTGTTTTGCCAAATTTAAAAGCATAGTTGGTAAATTAAATTTTTTATCATATCCTATAATCTAGTTCAACACTCTCACGACAGAGTTGAGAGTAGCACAAATGGAAGAAATGAAAAGAAAGTGGTTTAAAAGGTTTAAATATCCCTCCGAAATTATGTCGATTTCGGGGGTAGATGAAGAATAAACGACGTCATTTTTGCTTGGGACCCGTTCCTGCCCGATCTGCCGGACTTTAGGATCTATATGTTTTTTTTATTAAATGGGGAATTGTAGTTCTAGTCCCACATAGTTTGGTACAGGATGGATCAAGAAGAAGACAGATTAGAGCTGTCGTCCCCTAAAAATTTTAAATTTCTATATATTTAGATATTTTAATTATATTTTCTATTAAAAGTATATTTCTATCCCCTAAAATTTTATAAGTTTTCTCCTACTTATATTTTATATGCCACCCCTAACATAAAATCCTTCGTCTCGTCCTGATTTGATAAGAATTCAATTTAATCCATAATTGCATGCTTTAGATGTTAATATTGTTGTGACGTTAACTATATAATGTGTTGATAAGAGGTTATTAGTTCCAATCGGAATGATCCTTAAGCTTTTTATAGTAGGGCGGGGAGCGATTCAACTTATTTTTAAAAGATTGGATTTGAAAAAATATATTTGGAGTCGTTATGGACTTTTGAGTTTGGTAGATCAAATACCTAAACATATATTTTAAAATAATTTTAAGTAAAAACAATTTAAAAGATAAAAATAACATGTGTTTAACCAGAAAATCATTTTTAAAAAGGTTCGAGAGTCAATTATATATAGGGAAGAATGAGCACCCCTATAACACTGATTGTACATCATTAAAACTACGAAACTTGTAAATCCAAATATGCACTTAAATTATTATCCTTTTTCTAAAAAAAATAAAAGGGATATCATTTTGTACGAACAATCCTCGAAAATATCTTCTTTATCAGTCAAGGCACATTTCCATAGATTCACAACACAAAATAATACGACTCTGACTTTTAATAAATTATGTATATTTAATATTTTAAAAATAATCACTTGAATATATATATATATATAAAGGACACTATTTTATACAAACAATCATCGAAAACATAATCATTTTCAATTAAGTCACATTTTCATAGATCTCTCACAAAATAATATTGTCTTGTATTTTAATAAATTATGAAAAAAAATTCACAGTACATAATTCATAAATAATATAAATATAGTGGGAATCAAGCTATATACATGTATGCACATACATACAATATAACAAATTATAAAACATAATGACGATAAACATTTCATACATATATAATGTTGAGTTAATCGATTGACTGAATCGGCCAAGAGGGGGTGAATTGGCAATAAAAAATTTTGTGAAAGCTTTTGCAGAAAATTGAAAGAAATTGCACAACGATTTAGAGTGGTTCGACTTTATCAACCAAAGTCAACGTCCACTACCTTAGCTATCCACACTAAGGATTTTCCAACAAATTCACTAATTTGTTATTTCTTTTGAGGCCAAAGAGATAACCTTACAACTCCCTCAAGAATATACCCCAATTCTTGAGAACACTCTTTTCTCAAAGAGAAATACAAATTTGCAAACTTACAAGAAAAACCTCACAAGGCAAATATGTTTGCACAATTCTAGATCAAAGAAAGAACACTCAAGAATAAATACAATTGAGCACAATAAGTGTTCTTGAAAGCAAAATGAATATTGAATGAAAAATAGGCTTGAAATTTTCAAACTTGAGGTTTGATGCTTTCTCTTTGATTCTCTCTTGATTCTAATTGCTTGATGTTTTCTTGTTATTGATCAATGGCTTCTAATCTTACTTAAATACACCTTGAATCACTTCTGAACATTGTGGATGATTAGAGAAAATAATATAGTTGTTTTAGTGTGAAAACAATTAATAAAACAGTTTGGAGCGTGGGGGGAATTGGTACCCCCTATGGGGAATCGGTTCCCTAAGTGTAAAATTCAAATATTTCAACCGTTATACAAGGGGGAAATCGGTACCCCTGGGGGGAATCGGTTCCCTCCGAGCATACTGGAATTCTCGGAGCCAAACCATTCAGGGGGAATCGGTACCCCCTTGGGGGGGAATCGGTTTCCTCTGAGCAATCTGGAATTTTTGGCTTTGAAATGGTTCGAAATACTTTGTAAAATTATTTTGAAATTGTTTTAAGATTAAAACTTAATTTTACACTTTGAGTAAGGATTAAAAATGATCTTTGAAAGATTTGGAGTAATGTTTTGATATTCGAATAATTCTATCGAATATACTTAGAAAATCATTTGGAAAATCTTAAAATTCATTTAACTTAATTTGTTATATCGAAATATCAAAATGTTTTCAACAATCTCCCCTTTTTGATATAACAAAACATTTTAGTAATTTTAAGATTTTGAAATCAAGTTTTGAAATTACTCCCCCTTACTTTAACACTAACACTTATCCCATTTATCATTTAAAACGCATTTAACTTCTCCCCCTTTTTGTTAAATCAAAAAGACATTTTAAAGAATTTAAACAAGGTTTTGAAATCATTTAGCCAATTGATTATATATAATATAAGCTGCTAAGATCACAAGCAAGAGAAACGTTAGCCATTAGTTTCATAATCAATATTCATAATTAATGTGAAATGGCAAAATTGGTCATATATCTAATTATGAAGTAAATGATGCAATAATGAATAAATTTAATCACACCAAATAGATAATTTCTAACCATTCATAAATCCAAACAAATTCAAAGTCAATCAATCCACAAATTCAAACATTCCAAAATATTCAAAATGATAAAACAATAAGTTTGAAGTTCAAAGCAAAACATAGAATCACATATCAGGATCAGGAGGAGGAAAACGAGCTCGCATAGCGGCCATTTCGTGAGTGAGGTCATTAATACGCGCGTTGGTTGCTTCATTGTTTGCACGCATCTCCCGAAGAATTTCTAATTGTTGAGCTCCCATTGTGGATAAGTGGGACTCTATAGAAGAAAAGCGTGAATCCATGGTAGCGTATCGGAAATCGAATGTCTCCATAAAGGATTGGAAATATGGAGGCATTTGATGCGTTTGTTGTGCTTGCTCTTCGGGCTGCTCCTCGGGCTGCTCAGGCTCATCTTCGGCTTCAACGATGTCTCGCATTAATTGCTCAAGCTTGATATCTTCGTCAGCTTCGGGTGGAGCTTGTGAAGAACTAGCTCCCGGAGTATTTGGAGAAGATCGAACCCATTCACTGGTTTCCTTATCCTTAATCCATCCCGCTCTCGTTAAGGAAAGAAGGTTAATTTTTTCTTAAGGGGAAAAACGGCATCTAGACCGACTCTAAGCCCAGCTTTGGAAAACAGATTACTCAAAATGCAACCGTAAACAATAGATGAACAGAGTTTCTTGTTGGGAACAAGATTTACGGTTTCAACAATTTCAGCAAAAATAATCTGAGGTAGGTTAATTTTAATATTATTTTCCAAACAATGTAACCACCAAAGATCTAAGGCTCTAAGAGTAGAATAACGACCTCCGGATGGTCGAAACCACCAAGAAATCATTAGATGAAGAAAACGTTCATGAAGGTCTAAGATACTTGCACTATCCCTTCTTTTATAACGAGATCCTAAAACCTGTTTTCATTTGAAATACCATCATTATCTAGTCCGAATGTATTGGCTATATAAGCTGAGTCAATATATAAGAATTGTCCTAGGAGGTAGGAACGAATTCCTATGGTTTCAGTTTCAGTTTGGTTTTTAACACAAACGGTATTAGAATAGAAAATACGAACAAGTTGATGGTAAACGATGGGTTCAAGGTCAAAGAGTTTATCAAATTTCCACTCTTGTAAAAGAGGAAGATATTTAAAATTGATGGCTAACATAGCTTGACGAGAAGGAATAAGTTCTTCCCGGATTTTGTAAGAGTCAAAATATTGATAATACCAAAAACGATGATTTTTAGGACCAGGATGATTGAAACACGAATTTTGGATAGTTAAGTTAGGATCAATGGGATTAGGATTAGAAATTGGAATATGAGGAGGATTTGGAGGTGGATTTGGTTGACGGTGTGAGCGACTAGATGATGACCTAGCACGTTTAGGATTGGACATGGTTTAGTAAATTGGAATAGAATTGATAACCTGCAATTTAGAAAA